CGGTTAGGTTGACACGTGTTGCACATGTCTGTCCTTACCGGGCGAGGAGTTAATTCCTATAGATTTAACCCCCTTCACGCCGTTAAGTTTCATATTGTATGTGTTATTAGCCATGATATATCTTGGGATTAATAGTGGAGTGGTTTGCCGTTGCCTTCACCGCTAGTTTGCTGGTCGTTGACTCATAGAGAATTCTTCTGCTCTTTGTTAGGTCTTATTTTTTGTCTTACTGGCTCGCTTAACAAGCCGCCTCACATATAAGAACCTTGAGTGGAGTAGTCGGTTTAGTGGCCGACATTTGGACTGTGGAATACTTACCCAATATATATATATATATATATATATATATATATATATATATGAGTTACCCCCACAATCTGTTTGAGCCACAAACTTTTTACCTGCAGAGTTAGTGAGGTGAAGGAATAGAATAAAATGATTAAGTTTTAACCACTTTAACATCCCAAATTTACATGATGGTTGCATAATATAATTATATATACTATCAAAGAAATTTCAAGTTTTTATTCTAATTATAAAAAAATGGCCGTTTATTGCTATATTGGTGGTACTGTCAATAAAATATATTTAATAGTAGTTTATATTTTTACTTTACAAAGAAAAACAAGATATAGATAATAATATTTAGCTAAAATTTAGTGAGATATTTGATGCTGTATCTTATTTGCAATTTGGTTTAGAATTTCCTTTATATAAATTTAATAAAAGAGGTTCAATTGTACTATAGGGACCGTTGAATTTACTCGCCCATTTCGCTCGGTATTCGTCCAAAAGTTGGATAAAATCTATTCTTGGTGTGAAACACTATTTTTGACCCGACAAAAAGAAATTGTAATTTACTTTTAACATTTTTACCTGTCATCGAAAAGAAATTGGCGACATTTTGTTCGCCTTAAATTCTCGACTTGTATGCTTTTAACCTTTTTTATTTTTTTTTGCTTTTAAATTCGTTAAATTCCATTAAAACTTGTTTTTTGTGTAAAAAGAATGGTCAAAGTTTATTTTTTGTGGGAAAAAGTTGTTTTTTTGGGGGGTGGGGGTGTATTGACATTTTAAAACAACAAAAAATATTTCCGGTTCAATAAAAAAAGGCAAAATGCAATGGCCGCGAGCAATTAATACATTGAATTAAAGTTAGATTCTCAACACTTTAAAAAGTAAATTAGAAATTTATTTCAGGACAAGAAATTCAATTAAGACCAACAATCAATTTTATCCCAATGGGTGAGAAAATCCAACGTTCCCTATAATACAAATGAAAGTAAGATCTACTTCTACAAAGAAAATAATTTAAAATTTCACATTACATTAATTTTAAATATGAAACAAAAAAAATGCCTATAGTAAAATTACCAACAATACATTTTATATCAAAATGACCAATGATATATTTTATCTATAGCTGAAGGCATACAATTGCGTTCACAATATATTTAGTTGAAGTCATAAAATTGTGTTCTAAATATTTGGATTTTGACATTAAATAACCCATAGAGGTGTTGATATGCTGCTAAACAAAACCAACCAAAATATAGCTCTAACAGTTTTCAAACTGATTTCATGCTGTCAACAAAATCATGTAAAATTGTATTAAGTCTGTATTTTTTTTTAATCCCGGGTCCTTGTGCAGCATGTATAACTGCTTGCCATTTATGTTGCCTATATCTGAAATATATTCTGTAAGAATTGCTAATTGCCGCTGCTGTCTATCTGACGGAATGCGTCGCACAAGGGCTTATGGCCAGTTAATAATAAAACTTGTTTTCCTTCGATAATATTTTAGAAATATAACGTAGCTGAATATGCTACAAAAAGTTATTTTTATGGAAAATAGAATACATTGCTAGAGTTTGAGTTAACTTTTTAGAGAAGAAGCCTATTGGAAATGGCGTTTCTTCTATTTTTATGTAGGGCTGCACCAATTGCATAACTACTGCTATCAGTAATCAACTGATATTCAGTAGTCAGACCATCAGAAATTCACTGATTTTGCTTTTAATATCGTTAAATGACTGTAATTCCCAGTCATTTAATGTAAATGTAGTCTTACTGCATATACGTATTTTTTTGTTAAAGACATGACGATGTCTGCAAAGTTTGGGATTAATTTTCTATAAACATTTACCATGTCTAAGAAACGACGAAAATTCTTACTGTCCTTAGGAGGAGGGAATACTGTAATGCACTAGGTCTAATACCTCCAGAGCTGATATCATAACCCCCCAAATCGACTGAAGTTGCATCAAATGTTGACTTTATTAAATTTTTTGGATTATCATCATATAGGATTTTTATAACATTTTCAACATCTTTTATGTATACTGAAGGTTCATTGCTGAAAGCAAGAATGTCAATGTATATAAATACACAGTCAACATGTTGAAAGATCTTGTCCATGTATCTTTGAAAAGTGGATGCTGCATTCTTTAGACCAAATGTAATGTATTTGTATTCGGGCAACACGAGAGGACGAATAAGTGGTGTTTTTATAGAGGGTGCGATGGATAAATTGTCGCCCAAATTACGCAAAAATGAAAATAACACTGACATCTTATTTTTTAACATATATTTACCAAAATTACACAAAAATATCTTGAAATACTTAAGAGTAAATTTATTCAATAAAATCGACATTGGCTTCAACCACGGCCTTCAGAAGACTTCGGAATCTCCTGCATCTCTTCTGGATGGTCTCCTTGGTTAAGCTGTTGAATGTTGCTTAACCATTGCCTTCAGTTCATCTGCGCCCCGCAAATAATAATCAAGGGGGTTGCAGTCTGGGGAGTTAGGTGGCTAGATGCAAAGGGGTGATGTGATCCCAAAAATTGTCTGACAGCTATGACTGGGTTCTCCTGTTTGTGTGGCAAATTGCAGAGTCCTGTTGTCATACACAGGGTCTTCCAGCGGCCACCCTCTTGACCCAGAGCAGCACTACCTCCTCAAGGCACTTGATGTAGGCCTCCGTGTTGAGTCTGAGGCCCTGTGGGAAGATGAATGGAGGCATAACATCGCCATCACTAGTGATCACTCCAAACACCTTTGTAATCACAGGTAGGCACATCCACATCATCTGTGCTGATCTCAGATTGACAACCTGAAATGCTCGTATTGGAACTTCCGGCGGTACAGCATGCCGTTTCCAAATTTCTGGTGGAATAAATTGTCATTTTCTTTTTATTACAGACGTTGCCCAACTGACTCTACTATATTTTGCAGTCGACAAAAATAAGGAAAAGACAACGCGCATGCGCGAAATTAAAAGTATAAAATGGCGACAATTTACCCATCGCTCCCTGTATCATCTGGGTGCATTTTGATTTGATGGTATGCTGATACCAAGTCGATTTTGTTAAATCTTGTTTTGTTGGCTAGTTTATCAGCAAATGAATAATGTTGGTGTTTATGTGGTATTTATCGCTTTTGTAATGCCGTTTAATGCGCAGTAATCACTGCAGTATCTGAAATTGCCATCTAACTTTTTAACAACGTGTTGAGGACTAGTCCATTCACTATTAGAAGGTGTAATGACACCATGGTTCTGTAATTTCGAAAATTCTCTCTTTAATGCCTGGTTTTTCTCCGCTGATAGACGTCTTGCCTTGGTAAAAGTAGGAGCTTAACTGCCTGTAAAAATTCTACAGTATACTCCTGCATATGTACTTATTTTTATAAAGCCTTTAATGAAATCAGGCATATTATTATTCACGACTAAGTTGATAGAGTCGTTGAATGTTTATAGTTTCTTTGAAAACCATGACGTGAGATTGACGATCGTTTCCTGTTGGCAATCTATCAATAAACCAGAATTGTTTAGAAAATCGAATCCTAGTATGGAGGGTTATGGTCCATAATGATGAGGATATTTCATCATTCTAAAAATAACTTTGTCATCAGTGATGATAGAAAAGGATATTTCACCATCCTAACCCTCATCATAATAAAAACGACCCTTCCACCACAAGAGAGTCAGGAGAGTAAAGAACGTTAGAGTAGACTAGGGTACCTGTAGCAGTAGTCAGTGATGAGTAGATAAGTAGCAGTAGCATGTGATGTGCAGCTGTTGTAAGTGACCTAATCAGCTCAGCTGCGTAGCCTACGTTGGCGCTAGTATTTTGGTAACGATCGTTACAGCAACATCTTCGTTCGTGGATTACTTACCAGGTGTTTCGTGCTCAGTAAAGATATTATTGAAAATGTCAAAAAGTCCTGCATTTATATATATTTTTGTAAGTAGTAATCATGTTTTTTTTGTACACATACAGAAAGTGCGAAACATTATTTTTACGTGAAATCTTAATTTTATTACTTAATAATCCGTTTAAGCATTACACGACTAGCGTCATTACTTGTATCTGCGTGTACACAACATTTATTAAATTTCATATAAAACTACCTTCAGAGTATATGTATAAGCTGTGTTATGAAATGTAGATGGATATCGTGTTTATGCTTGGGTTTCATTCCCAAGCTGCCCCATTTTATAGATGTCATATACAAATTAAATAGTCTGTATTCAAAAATCTGAAAACCGAAACACTACCTGTCCTAAGAATTCCGGATAAATGATTCTCAATTTCTACTTTAATTCGCCCTGATTATCTGATTAAGTGTAAGCCAGATTGGGATTACCCATTTGTCTGCCATGTAACTTCTAGTAGCGACCGCTAGATGGTGTTGCCAAAAGGCATTATTAAAAAAAAAAGACAAACTTTCTATTTTTAATCCTTTTCAGCTACAAAACCCTTTACAAGTTGTTTAAAGCCAGAAAATATTTTTAGATTGTAAGAATTTTTTTTTTAGATAATAATTGTTTAGTGATACAACTCTTACTAGTTAATCCATACCTGAGGGGAGAATATTCACTTACGTGTAAATACTCTTGGGAAAGAATATTTGCGCGTAAGTGAACAGGAATTGGGACAAAATTCGCAGATTAACATTTCAGAGCCATTATCCATCACAACACCCGCATATCCAAGCTTACGGCACCTGATATTCCCAAGCGGTCACCCATCGAGGTACTGACGAGGCTGACTTTGCTTAACTTCGGTGATCGTACAGGAACCGATGTCTCAACGTGATGTGGCCGTATGCCTTTCGCCTTCATAATGTCATAGGTACAAGATGTATCTGGTTTCCGTTTCGCGAGACTTCTTAGTCCCAAGCGAATCACATGATGTATTACACAAAGCACAACATACACGTTAATAACTCCCAAACCAACAAGAAACCTTTCTTCGATGTAAATCTCTCAACATCTTCAGTCGGAAAACTGGAAACAAAAAGGATGCTTTTACTTTTAGAATCAGAAAGAAGCAGCCGAGATTTCTAGAGCATATAATGAGGAAAGAAGGCCTGGAAAATTGACACTCGCAGGACATATTGAAGGCACGAGAGACAGAAGAAAACTGCACATAATCTACGAAACCAGCTTGTATAAACGGTTGGCAGAAAAAGGATTAGAAGGGATAGCAAAAAGATAAACTACAAAGGACAAGAACTTGTGAAGAGCCATGATAGCCTACGTCCTGAAGGGTCACGGCAGATACAAGAAGCAGCAGGCAATAAATTTTGTTGTATTTGTATGTAATTTCATTCCCATTCTAGAAAAAAAAAAAAAAAAAAAATACCCGGCGACTGCAATATTATCGCGACAAAATCTCACACACATAAATATACGTCTTATCAATAAATATATTTCAACAATGGTCTTCCAGTTACACCAGTATTTAATCTGATAAACAAAAGACGAGATAACTTTACAAACATTGAAAACTAGTTGGAAAATTCAATTATAAATTTCAATAAAGAAGACTGCTGACTTCTGAAAATTCGTAATTTTCTTACGAAACTAATACAAGTTGATTCAGGGCGTAATAAATAAAAATGAAATCTCGGAATCATTAAAAGATGTCTGAGTTTTTTCTTTGCTTAAATGTATTGGGCTATTCTTTTGCAGGCAAAAGCTAAAAGCTATTCACACTGAAAATAATTATTTTATGAAAGGAGTTTTAAAACTATAATGTATGCTACAGTGTGAAAGATAATTTATTTAACTACGTTCCACTGGTATCTGATAACAATGATCGAAATGAAACATTATTTAATATAATTAGTACTTTTTAAAAAACTTTCCCCACATATTAGACCACTTTCGTTAAGTGGAAGTCTCCTCAAACCACCAGCACCTTTATTATTTCTGATTTTGGTTAGGTTGTCGTTTGGATGGTGTGAATTTTCAATTTTAATTCCTGATCTGGCATCCCATCTACAGTCGCTTTCTCGCAGACGTGATGTGGCTCCTCTCTGTCTTTTCTACAAGTATTTTCATGGCAGCTACTCCGACGAGCTACTTTCGCTTGTTCCCAAACTGCATGAATTTAAACGTGCTACTAGATTGGCATCTCGGGCCCACCCTTTCACTGTTGAAACGGCTAAATGTAGTTATCTCTTCTACTCCAACAGCTTCTTATCTCGCACCTCCCGTCCTATCACTTGCTTCCCTGATAGCTATAATCTCCAAATATTCAAATGTAATGTTAATGGACATCTTCTGATGCCATGATCTTGATCGTCGTCCTTCTCTTTATCCTTTTCCCCAAAGACGCCTCTTTATTCTTACTCTCACTCTGTAGCCCCTTGCGTGCTTGTGGCACTCTTGCCTTGCTTGGGGTGATTTGCTTAAAGAAAAAAAATCATCTTTACAAGACTTATTATTCATAGTCATGAAATAATCATACTCTAGAATTTTTTTTATCTTACTAATTTAAGAAAGAATCTAAACTAGAAAGAATATTAACTATGCAACATACATTTACCGGCCTGAATGTCAGAGAAATCTCATAGAAAATATGTGTCCTTCGACAGGAATCGAACCTGTATCCTACACGCTACCGTCATAGGGCCTGGCGGGCTATACCATTTAGTTACAGAGGAAGCATCTTGTTAGCAAGCGTAGGATACAGGTTTGATTCCTGTTGGAGGACACACATTTTCTATGAAATTTTTCGGACATTCAGGCCGGTAAATGTAGTTAATACTGTTTATTATAAAGAGAGCATTTAGTTAAATATTTGTATCTATAATAATAATGTATAAACGGAAAATATATTAAAATAATTGTCGGACTTAGTCCATTATATGTGTGTGTTTGTGTGTGGTGAAAAACGAAATAAAAATTACTTTTTCTCCACTGTTTTGAAATTCGCGAGACTATGCGAAAATTTATTTTGACCAATAGAAAAGGGATTGACTCTGGGTTGAAGAAAAGACCAAGGCAAAGTTTAACGAGCCTATGTGAAAATTTATTTTGCCAATGGAAAATGGAGCGGCTTACAAAGAAAGAAAAAAGTAACGAGCCCATGTGAAATCACTTTTTGATATAAATAAGCAGAGAAAATTGAGAGAGAGCAGAAAGAAGCAGAAAGCCAGAGTTCCACGCGTCTGAATAACGCCGGTGTCAAATTACACGCTGATGCATTATTAGGCTCTGAAGAGAGCAGGGCAATTTCAAAGAACTCTCAAGCTAAGTACTTAAAATAAATCTTTTCATTCATGTTAAATACAACCGTATAACTTTTGTGAAAAACGAACTCACTTAATTTGTTTTAAACATTGTGGAATTTTACTTTGTGTCCGACGATTTAAGATAAACGTTTTTTTTTCTCTTGACAATACATCGAAACTACGAACTTTAAATATTTGATTCCTTTTCTTGAAACAATCTACTGACAAATTCAAATTCGTAAAATTGTAAATAAATTCCTTATCTTGATTCGTTAACTATAACACGTGTGTTTCTTCATCATTATCTCTCAATACTTCATGTGACGTATGCAAATGTATGATATAAATTTTTGTATGTCAAAATATTGTAAATAATATTCAATATCAATAATGATGGCGTCCAGCGGTTGCCACATTTTACGGAGGTATGGTAGAGTAATGGATTGAGGCTTGGTTTGCTGAATCGGAGAGCCGAGTTCGAATACCAGTGGAGTTCATTACATTCACTTACGTGCTAATATACTCGGAAAAGGTGTGAATCCATTTTCGTTCTTCTGACGAGGAGTAAATAACTAGTTAATCCTAGTAGCTATTTTGCTCTGAAAGGTTATTTTTAACGCTAGTTTACTACACTAGCCCAGTAAAAATTCACAATTGCTGTAAACAATTATTTGGTCTCGATGTATCGTTCAAGAAATGAATGCCTTATATATCGTGCAAAAAGGGGAATGAGTTTGGTTTGTCTTTGTTTAGATAAACAAAACGATTTAAATGTACAGCAGAAAAAAAAATCCGGAGGTACGGTAGAGAATGGATTAGGGTTCGGGTTGCGGAATCGGTAGAGTTGAGATCATTACGTTCACTTACGCAATAATAACCGCTGGGAAAACGTATGACTCCCCCCCCCACCAGCTATAAGTAAATAGAAGGACTGACTGGGTTTTATAGCACTGGATGGCAACCAATCTAGAAAGGTATACTGAATTCAAAACTTTATGCAGCTCTGGCAAAGGATATACTATGCAGCTAAGGAAAGGATCGTTCGCATTAACTCAATGGTCCCAACTACGGTCAATTTGCGACATTTCGTCATCTTTTGAAAATTCGTTCTATAACATTCATTTACAACATTTTTTTCTACATAACAGCGTAAAGTGAAGAAGCAACTACCATTAACTTTTATTTGGAGAATTTCTGAGCCCTAAAATGAGCTTCTATGTCTGCTTGCCTTCATGTCGAAGGTCGATGTTTGTCGACTGCTGTAGCTGATGTGAAAAGCTTGAAATTATGGCAGAATGCTTGACCACTTAACCTCGTGCATTTTCTTTCATCATACATTTCTTTATAGGCGTTCAAAACATCCTGTAAACGTGCCATAAAGCTGAATGTCCTTTCTATAGTAGGAATTTTCTTCAGTCATTTCTGCATTGTTAGTTGTTGCAAAAATCTCACGCACCGTTATTTTTTTTTTTTTTTTAGCGCAGGATCGTGTGTCTGGGAGCATCTAATATAAATTAATGTTAATTGCTTCCCCGCCTTAAACTGTATAAGTGTCAACCTTCATATTTTTGTCAGTTTTTCACTTTCTCTTCATGGCCCACTGGGACAGCGACACCCCCGATCTGGCAAATTATATACTTTTATTTATTTATTTACTGTCACTAGATACAGTCCCCTGGTCTGAATAGGATGATCTGTCGGAATTTCTAAAATTTTAAGAATTTTACTTTTTCATTCTTATGGACAACTTCTTGTTATGCCTATACCATTGTCTTGCATCTATTTCGATAAGCAAATCTTTAGCCAATTTATTTCGATGAGCAAATTCCAGTCGATAGTAGAAATAATTACTATTATTCGTAGTCACTTACCATTTGTATGAAAATTGAGCAACATCGAATTTCAGTATTCCAGTTATTTTTAGTAATACTGTTGTCCAGATGGTCAGGACTTTTCCTCGGATTTCGAGTTCCAAACTTTTTTCAGGATTATCTCCAGTGGTCCAACACTGATGGGCACGACCGTCGCTACACATTCTTTTTTCATCTGAAACCCATAACTATTAGGGCTGTATGGACACCGTATGTACTTCAGTCGCAGTGGTGTTACCTGGGCAAGACAGCCTGAATACTTGGTTTTGAATTCAGAGTTTTTCCTTCTCCTAGACCAGTTGCCACCCAAGGCTATAGGACCTAGTCTCTCCTACTATTTATCTATACCTGTGGGGAGGGGAGGTGAAGAGATGGATTCATGCCTTTCCCAAAGTAAGTGAATATAATGACTTTGAACTCTGCACTCCGATTCCTCAATCTGGGCCGCTATCTATTACATGATTATTTTTTTTTTAGCAAGATCCAAATACTTATCAGGATTTTCGTTTACTCCTGTAATTCTTTAGGGCATGGAAATTCCTTGACACTTATCTCCTTGTTCACGAACGCTAGATTAGATCTTTGGCCTGAATTGGGTAATACGATTGAAAGTACCAGAAACTTGTGTTGTCCATTGTTTAAAATAATTTCTTGTTTGTGCACCGTTTATGGAATAACTTTTTGCATTCTTTTATGTCAGTGATTATCTCGTCTA